TTTGTATTTTTTTGAATTGGTGAATATGGTAGTTTTTAAAGTAGTCTTGAAAATAGGATTGTAAAACTTGTTTTATTTCAGTTAGTTGGGTAGTGAGTGTATTGTTAGAGAGAAGTCAATCTAAGTTTATACTATTGTTTTGTTTTTCTAGGACATTTCAAAAGAATATTTTGGAATTTTGGTAGAAGTTGTTGTTTTTTTCTTCAAGTTTGTTTTGAATTTTTTTATTGTATTTTCTTGTTTTTCTTTAAGAATTTGTGTTTTTAGTTTTTTAATTTCAGTGATAAGGAGTGTTGAGGATGAAGTAAGAACAGAATTGTTATTAGTTGTTGTTAAGTAAGAGGGTGGTAGTGAAGTATTTTGAAAGTATTTATTAATATATAAGTTGTAAGTTTGTGGAAAGTTGGATTTGTTGAGAGTTGCTTTAAGGGAGATTGCTTGTTTGAGTTGTTTATATAGTAGTGTAAGAAAGGGTAGTTGTTGTTTATTTTAATAAAGATTGGTTTTAATTTTTTTGAATGGAATATGTTTTTGGGCTGCTTTGGTTAAAGCTTTATTAATTTGATTCTATATATTGTTAAGTTCTGAGTTTTGAGTAATGTTAGTGATTAGCATAAGAAGTAGTTGAAGGTTTTGTTCTATATAAGATTGATAGTTTTCTATTTGTTCATTTGTAGTTATCTTTTATTGATATTTAATTCTTGTTTTAAGTAATTGTAGGTTTATTTTAGGTAAATTGATTGTGATTTCAAGTGATATTATTGAATGATCTGTTAGGGTAAATGGGTTAGGTAAAATGTTAGCATAATCAAGAAATGTAATATAAATGTTAGTTCATATTTGGTCAATTCTGCTATGACTGTTGTTATGTATGAATATAAATGTTAGAGTTAAAGAAAAGAAGAGCCTATATATGTCATAGAATTGAAGGGATTTAAGAAGTTTTAAAAGAGAATGTTCTGATGTATTGAAGCTTTTGGGTAGTAGTCTATTAAGTTTGAGATTAGAAACTCCATTTAGATCTTCTATAAGGACTGTTTTGTAGTTAGTTTGATTAAGAATAGATGTAAGATATGAAAGAATATCTTTCCTAAATTGTTTTTTCTCTTGAGTTGGAAAATATAGTTGAATAAGTTTAATATGAAGGTTTTTAAGAAATAGGTTAATTTCTAAAATGAAGTTCTTGTAGATTTGAATTTTTCTAATTTGCTTAGCAAAAGAGTTGTGGATTAATATTCTTACTCTGTCTTGACGAGCATTGCTAGGTGTTCAGAAGCATTTGTAATTTGTAAGTTTTTTAAATAAGGTTGAGAATTTTGCCTTAGATGTGTTTTTGAAATTCCAAAAAAATCTATTTGGTTTTTTGAAATGAAGTTGATTAGGCTAAGTTGTTTAAAATTATCTAAAAGACCATTAAAATTAAGAGAGTATATTTTAATGAATTTGGTGATATCTGGTTTTCTGATGATAAGAAATTGTTATTAGTGTAAGTTTTTTGATATTTTAAAATACAATAAACTAAAAAATCACATTTTATGTCACTCAAAGTTTATGTAGATCTATTTATGATTTCTCATAATGATTAACCAATTAAATTACATGATTTTTAATGATCTAATAAACAAAAAAAAATTTTGTTACTATGTAAATTATTCTCTTATTATAGAAACTAAACAAACCAAATAAGAGATAATGTGTATATTAATATCAATTAATTATTTAAATATGAATCCAACTATTTCTAAATATAATACATAATATAGCTGAAGTAGACAAAACAGATACTAAGGCTAGAAATTGCAGAAAATTATAAAAAAAAAACTCTTTATGATGTATAATATACAATATATTAATTGTACTTTGTTTATATAGAATTTGTTGAATATGCACATAATCTTGAAAATCTTTTGATCATAATAAAAAAAAACTTTACATTTAAAAAATATTGATTCAAAAAAATATAAATTATATGATGCTCCAAGTCATTTCACATCAAATGCACCAAATTTGAGGTATAAATAAATGCATTTTATCCAATCAAAATGCATTATATAGTAGATAAAAATAATTTAAAAGAAAATTTTTAAAATTTTCATATTAAATGTCAAAATTTTGAAAACATAATAACTTTAAACACTTATAACTTTAAATTTTAGACCTTTTTAAAAATTCTAACCAATAATTTGAACAGAACTGATGAAAAATAATAGTTTTTATCAGTTACATTTCTAAAAAATATTTAAAACTTAAGATTTTGTAGATTTTTAAAAAAACACATGATTTTTGATGAGAAGTGACTTGGAGCACCATAGAAGCATGCGAAAAGTCTTCCAAAAATATGGAATAGAAGGAATAAAGTACATTTTACTGCCTAAATAAAGAATTATGTTGAATACTTATTTCATACAAGGAAATCAAAAAAAGTATTTCTGTAACAATAACACTCTCAATTATATTAATAGAATTGAAAATTTTTAACTTGGAATTTCATTTTTCTTTGATAATATTCAGAATTTTTTATTGAATAATTTTTTAATTGGTCACACATTCGACATTAAATTGTCAGAATTTATTAATCAAAATTTTAAATACAGATTATGTAACTGATCTTGGTGGTCATGCTAGAGTAGTTGACGTTCTGGACCCTGATGGGTTCGTAATTTCAATAAAGAACAAATCATGACCTCCATAGTGGTGAATTTGTAATGTCTGAATTAGTGATATTCTGTTACAACAGATGACAACAGTTATTCACTAGTTATGAATTAATCTTGATAATGTATTAGGAAGCCGTAGAGAAACTTATCGTATAATATGCAAATATAATGAATCAATTGCAGATTAAAAAATTGTAAAAAATTTTTTTGCAAAGAAAAAAATACCTAGGCCAGTAAAAATCAACTCAAATAATGCACTTGCATTAAAAAGACATGAAACAAACTAACATATGCTGTAAATTCAATATTATTAAAAAAAAAAAAACTCATTGAAAATTTAAACATAGATAAAAATTTTTACTGATACTCAAATTTTAGTGATCAATCATGCCTGAAACTTATTGATTCCACTCTCTAATGAAAACTAATTCTACTTAGAAAATTTTGCCACAAAAAGGTCAAACCTGAATTTCTTTTATCTTTTCCAACCCAATTCCATTTCAATAATGATATATGTTTCGCTAGTGCACTTATACTTGCTGGCAAAACCTAGACAAATCCTAAACCTCCAAAAAACAAATTGCTTTTGTAAAAAATTAAATCAACAAAATAATTTTGATATTTTGTAAATATATTATATATAACTATAAGAATATATATTATTTGTTTAAATAAAGATTATTAATAAAGTTTTTAAGATATTAGTTTGGGCTTGGGTTTAGGATTTGGCTGGCAAGTATAAGTGCACTCTATCTTTGTTAATTTTCTTGAATGCTTTGTGTTTGTCCTTTCAACATCCATTTTGATAACAATACAAGTTCCACTGGTGTTCACATTTTATCTGATTTGTTTGATAATAAATGGAATGTAATTTTAACATCAATTCTATTTCGAAACAATATTCAATATTTTATCACCTTCTCTACAAGTTGTAAATCAACATAATAAAATATTCTATCCAGATGATGCAAAAATCCACCATTCACTTGCCATAAAGTTTGAACACGAGTACTCTGCCCAATTCTACAAATTTGCATATAAATGTTCCACTAGCATTCGCATTTCATCTGATTTGCTTGATAATAAATGAAGTGCGTTTCTATAAAATATCTACAAATGTCTTTCATTCTTTCCAACTCCAATTCCATTTTGATAGTGATATATGTGTTACTAGTGCACCCTCTCTATGTTAATTTTCTTAATAATAAGTAGAATGCCTTGTGTTCGTCTTTTCAACTTCCACTTTGATACAATACCTAATATTATATGTTCTACTGGTGTTCACATTTCACCTGATTTGTTTGATAATAAATGGAATGCACTTTTTAACATCAATTCCATTTTGAAACAATATCTATCATTATATGTATTCAAATTAGCATTCCCTATTTCTGCTGTTTTTTTTTTTGCTAATAAATAGAATGTTCTTTTCAATTCCAATTCCAATTCAATAGCAATACTCAAAATTTTGTTGATCGGTCCTATCTAGATTACTTAGGAACTAATGCAAAAACTTCTAAACTTTTATTAGAGATTGTTATAGAGAAATAACTTTTTTATAATATTACTCATTGAATGAATACTAGTTAAAAATATCACTTTTTTACAAATCTTGCTCAAAGGCAGCTAACAATTACTGTGAGACCGATTATTATCGATAATCAAGAATGAGGACATGGGGTTTTTTTAAAAAAAAAGATTTTTACATTACATCTGATCCTTTGATATAATTGGCTAAAAATCACGTTTCTGATCAATTTTTTAAATGATCCCTATACTTATTTGAGATAAATGTGATTTTTTGTTTTACTATTGTATTTTGAAATGACAAAAATCTTAACTGTTCATGCCTGTCAAATGTAGTTATATTTTTCAGAAAAACCGGACCCTTTAAGTTACTTTATTACGTGGTTGCCTCAGCGTTAGTGCAGAGACACACTCTGGAACATAATTCGATCATTTGGCGAGGTTGGTTCATTCTATTGACTCAAAAGCAAATTAGCTGCTTTTGTGGTTTACTTCACGTTAGCGAAAGGTACACTCTGGATCAGCCACCTAAACCATTTGTGAGGATAATGTTTTATTGACCATAAAAAAGTAATTTAAAGGAGCTTCTTGCCGATAAAGTCTACTGATTCTAGAGAAAGAATTGGTTGTGAACTTTCTTTATCGTTGAAGAAGCTTTGTCTGATACTTTATATTATTTGCTACTAAATACATGTATTTTTTTCATTATTTATTTTGTTTTTTATATTATTAAAGTGTAGATTTTTAAGTTCTTTGGATTTGTCTAAGAATAATGAACCAGAAGATGTATTAGCAAATGCACTTCACAAAAAAACTATGCCAACCTTTTTGAATCTCTCTGGAGATAATCTTGGACCAAAAGAAGGAAGTTCATCTTCCATCACACCAACTTCTTTGAATGTTTCAGCCCCAACAATTTTAGAACAAGAGAAGGAAAATCAGTATATGACTGTATTAAATTTTTTTTAAACCATGTTTATTGTTTAGTCTGAGTAAATATGCTAATCTAATTGTATTTTTAGACTTCTCACCATTTTGAAAAAAAAGTTCAAGGTATTACTTTGACAGCATTTGCATTAAATACCTACAGATTTATACTTTGTATATTCATTAAGGTTATTGTTGCTATACGTACTGTATGATGATAGAACTCCATCAATATGTAAACCAATTAAAAAAAAAAAATTGAAGGGAAAGATCAGATAATTTTAAAGAATCAAATTATTTTAGAGAAAGTTGAAAAGGTAAGTTTTTTTTTCTTCTATAAACAAATTGGTGGATTTCTAATATTTCGAGATATTAAACCAATTGGTTGAGGTGGAACAATCGTTAGATAATTAATAATAATTATACTGTAATAACTACATTATGCATTAGCATTGGATTAAAATTTAGCCACGTAATAAGCTGATAATATAAATAAGTAATCTGTTAAGGAGTAGGTAATCGTTTAGATGTCAATTTTTATATTATATTTTAATGTTTTAGAGTATTTTGAAGGATGGACCGATCATTTATTGTTCTTGTAATAGTTATTTAAGGGTTATTGCTGCTGAATTTACTATTATTTTTACGTATTGGGTGGGGACTTGTAAAAAGGCTCAATTTGGAAAATCTGGCAATTTAATAGTTTTGCTTTTTTATAATTTCTAATAAATTATAATTTGTAAATTATATCATGAGAAAATTTGAAGAAAAAAATTAAATCATTTTAGAGAAGATGAAAAGGCAAGTTTTTTTTTTTTTTTTAAATCTACAGTTTTGATTTTATCATTTTTTTAATAAATTTGTAAATTAAATCAAGGGTTTTGAAGAATTTTTGTTTAAAATGTCAAATGAGTTGGAAGACATTATGGGCACCAATTAGGGTTGCGGCCCAATCTATTTTTTTGAATTATAACATTACTACATAGCCTGGGTTTGGAAATCAGGATTTCTACTTAATTTGGGTTTGGAAATCAGAATTTTCCACTTAATTTGGGTTCAAATCAAAAACCCAAATGCATGTTTCATTTCAATCAATAGTATCAAACTTAAAAACTGAATATAATTTTCCTGATTAATTAGCTGAAGCTTTTGAAAAAATTGATTTAGCTGATGTTAATAAAGTTTATGATGCTTATTAAAATTAAAATGACTTGATGTGACTTATTCGTTTTAAAATGTAATTCTTGGTCAATATTTTCATTATTAGAGGAAAGATTTTTTTGAAACTAAAGTTTATTGCTATAGCTGTAATTTATATGAACACATTTCTACTATGGATCAAGTCTATTGTAGGTGACCCTTTTTAGTGAAAATTCTATGAACAGAGCTTAGGGACAGAACAAACTCACATGATATTATTAAAATTTCTCTTACCCTAACCAATAACTGACTATTCATGTGATTTGTTCTATCCCTAAGCTTTGTCCGTAGAATTTTCACCTTTTTAGGGTGTGGCCAATCACAGGGTATGACAAATAAGTATTTACTATATAGTTTATATAATAAATGCTTATTTGTCATACCCAATGATTGGTCACACCCAAGTACTAAATCAAAGGGTATAATAGACTTGATCTTTCTACGTACGTACTACGTACATATATTATTATCTATTATATCCTTTTTGTAATTCAAGAAATCGCTTTTTCAAATATATTCGACATGTTTATCGTGTATAATTTCAAAGTTTGCATAGTCATGAAGGCACTGGAATAGGGTTTGCTCTTGTCAAAGAACTTATTACATGCCATGGTTAAGATATTACTGTAACTTCTGTAGTAAATCAAGAAATGACATTTAAATATTCGTTTCCAATAGAACATGAAAAATCAAATCAACTTCGATAACGTTGAAAATCCAACTGCTGGAGGTTAGGAATTATATTATAATTAACAACTTTATTTAGAAGAAAGTTGAGGCGTACAAATCTTGATTAGCTCATCTTTATTAAAGAAAGTCTTTTAAATTTGTAAGATTCCTCACACATTTAAAAATTGTATGAATTAATTATCTATATATCGATATATTAACTATCTAATCGCTACATAGCAACTGGATTGTTAGATGACGTTTTATTATAACGATATTATGTATTGAATTGTATTATTGTTATTATTATGTCAAATATGAATGGATGTTATTATAATATTATTATCCGCAAAAGCTGAAGATGCTTCCACGTAAAATTGAAAGTAAATTTATTTTTAATTTCATTCTATTTTTTTTATCAGTTTTTGAAATTTTTTTTTTTTTGTTACTTTAGGTCTGGATAAAAGAGCAGATGATTATTTAATCAAACCATTTTTTGATTAAGAATTAATGATACATCTTTGCATTATTACATGTTTATTGTAAGTATGCATTACATTTAATGAATTTGATTGTTATATTATTACATATATAGATAATCAACCTAGTCATGTGCAAATTCTTTAAGAACTTTTTCTGGAATTCGACGATGAGAATGATATTTCTTTACTGCAAAGGCAGCAGCCTTTCCAGAAAGTCCAAGTTTATAGGCACTCATGAAGCATTCAGAACAATGAGCAAAGTGACGAATCTTTATTATATCAACAGAGTTTAGTGCTCTTAGAACAGCTCTTTTGAGGCTCCTAAAGGTGTAATCACAATTAAGTTTTGCAATGTGTTTTGCTTCAGCCCAAAAAGATTCAATATAATTAAGTTCACAATGGAACTTAGGGTAAAAGATGCACATGTGATCGGCTGCTTCAATTACCTCTCGTATACGTGATTGCTGTGATGCAAAATTAGGTTGAGCAGCAAGAATGCATGTGGCACAACATTTTGGATTTTTCAGATCAGCTAATTTTTTTTTGCATACATTACACCGTTTTATAAGACCTTGTATCTATAAATTACATTCCTCGAGTACTCGTCGAATATCTTTAGGTCTTACCACATCTTTGTCATCTATATATGTCATCACATGTATAGAACCATCTGGCTTGGTATTATTATGAAGAAGTGGCATTTTAGTACCATCACTCATGTTCATTTGTGAGACCATTAGAGCATTATTAGCAAATGCTCCATGATTGCTACGATTATCAAACATAAATAGTGCTATTTTATTAGGATGTGTTCATTCAAATATTGGTATAGCATGTTCAGTTATTTGATTAATAAGGTCATTGCATGTCCACCAACCATCCCAATTTGAACCTGGATAGATTATAACACAGGTTTTGGTATGTTTAAGTTTAAGATGCGAATCATCAGGAAGTAGATCGTTTATACGACGTTCATATTCTGAAAGTTTGAGACGTTCAATTGACTGACAGATGAAATTGCTGACATGCATGCTAAGTTCTTGTGACTTGTTATGAAGCATGCTTTCATCCTTTGGACCCCAAACCTTGTGCATACTGTTGTTGGCATAAAATGGTGTCTTATCATGAGTAACAAGAACTATTTCACGAACACCATAAGAAAGTCTTGGCAAAATAGCATGTTCTAAATTTTCACCTTCGTAAGTGACCATTCAGGATCGTAATTCATCCATCCTTTGCAAAAAGTAGTTTCAATATTTGACCATGTCTTCACGTTCATGACCATCAAAATAAATAGTTTTTGAATGTCCTTTATATTTCCATCCAAGTAAGTTTAGCCATCTACATGCAGTCGATCTACTAATAGTTGTTCTTTCTATAATTCTGAAAGCAGGAATAGTAATGTTTTCTATGTAATTTATAAAATTTGGAATACTTAAGCTGAACTTATTTTCTTCCAAATACTGTTCAATGCTTAATCGGAATTGTTTGTTATGTGTAAGAGATTTTATTTTAGCATGCTTGCCATGCTTTGACATTATTAACTTTCTATTGGCTTTCCATTGGTTTGCCCAGTTACGAATAAGTCCTGCATACTACGGACCTTTAACAAGACTTTCCGACAAGAGTTGACTCACATACATTTTAGTGAACTGTTAATTTTTAACAAGATGAAGATATTGTCTTGTTGTATTAAGACGTAAATCAACAGTTTCTGTTCCTAATTGAGCATTTAGTGATGATATAGCATTATCATCACCAGCACTACTATGGAGGGTCTTGTTAGATAAACAAACAGGTTTTGACACTGTAGGTTGATTTTTATTGATGGATTCAACTGCTATAGGTTCATTGTTTTTAAACAAAGCAGCATTAGTCAACTCAACATGTTGCGACAACGATTTATTCTTTCGATCCATGTTAGCGATTTTTTGGCAATGTCTTGTGTGTTTAGTTTGTTTAGGCATTTTTATTTTATTTTATTTTTGTTATTTAAATTGTAGATTTGTTGAAATATACTACGTAAGAAAGTTAAACAAAATCTATGTAATCTGATAGTGTCTTTTATATATTTGTAGCAGAAGTCTTTTTTGAATTTTAACAGCTGCAGTATCAATTAGAATAATTTTGACTCTACGTAATTGATGCCTATTGAACTAAATCTGGCAGCAATAAGGATGTCAATTGGTACTTTATTGAAGGAGAAAATATATACATATGCGTGTCTCAGAACTTTCATGTATAACGATACTAAAATTAAAGTTTTGAAATGTGAGGCTAGTCGTTGGTTATATCTCGTGATCTAGTGGTCCAAATTGGATGATTTTAGTACCATTCGAATCCTCTCATTGAAACGATTCGAATGGTACTAAAATCATCCAATTTGGGCCACTGGATCGCAAGATAGCCATGGCTAGCCGGTTGGCTAAGCCAAAAATGACCAACTATTGCCATCTCTAATGTGAACAATTTGGTTACATAGCAATTGTTCTCAACTGTTATACATAACAAATTTAGTCACATAGACCATTGTTGAAAATTTTGTACGTACGTAAGTCATCGTTTTCATTGGATCTACATAAAAAAAGTAAATCAAAATCAAAAGACATTCGACTCATAGTGATAAGATTGACAAGTCTACATATGTGAAAAGTGACACTGGTATGTACATATTTAATGTGTTGTATCAGGTATGAAAATTCTATGATATTTTGTATTGACTACGTAAGAGTGCTTTCTGTGATTAGTTGTTTTTAAGGAAAATTCTGCTGTTTTCTGTGATCATAGTAAATCATCAGCTCTACCCACCCTAAAAAATTTCGCTACTATTTCGCCAGCCAAACAGATTTTAAGATCGGTATAAAGCAAAAAATCAAATCAAACCAAAAAATCATTCATAACTCAACATTTTACCTATTAAACTGCTTTCTGTGCATTAACAAAAAGTTTTCCTTGCAAAATTTCAGTATTATGTTGTAAGGCTCTTACCTAACTTAATAGCAAACCCTAATTATAATTTAACTGTGAAATTTTTAAGTTGGTAATACAAGGGTTTTGTATTAGATCGATAATTTAATTGGTCAATTAACACAGGAAATCATGGGTAGATTTGAACTTTGAGCAACATCTATATTTAGTAAAATGCGATTTTTTGGTTCACTGTATTTCGAAATGTCAAAAAACCAAACAACTATTCGCGCATATAAGAAGGTAGTTTTATCTTTCAGAAAAGTCGGTCCCTTCAAGTTACTTTTTTATGTGGTTGCCTCGACGTTAGTGCAAAGGCACACTCTGGAACACAAGCTTGTCATTTGATAAAGGTGGTTTGTTCTACTAATGTAAAAGCAGATTAGCTGCTTTTGTGGGTTACTTCGGCATTAGCGCAAAGGTACACTCTGGAACAGCCACCTAAACTATTTGTGAGGATAATGTTTTATTGACCATAAAAAAGTAATTTAAAGGAGCTTCTTGCTGACAAAGTCTATTTCTTCTAGAGAAGAAATTGGTTGCGAACCTTTTTTATCATTGAAGAAGCTTTGTCTGATACTAATACATATTTTTTTTTTCATTATTGTTTTTTTTTTTTATATTAAAGTGTAAATAGTTAGCTGTAAGCATTCTGATAATAACCTTGAACCAAAAGCATTTTCGAATGCACTTTACAAGAAACCTATCACAACTTCCTTGAATCACCCCGGTGATAACCTTGCATCTGAAAGAGGAAACGCATCCTCAGATGCACTTTACAAAAAGCCCACGCTAACATCTTTGAATTACCCATATGATAATCTTGGATCTGAAAGAGGAAACACATCCTCAGATGTACTTTCTGGGCAACAATCTTAGATCAGGAGAATGAAAATCTCCACGAACCTGTATTAAAATTTTTTTTATGTTCTGTTTATTGTATAATCTGAATAAATAAATTGATATAACCTAACTTGTATCTTTAATATATAATATCAAGGCTTCGGAACATTTTAGGATTTTTGAAAGAAAAGTTCAAGGTATTTATGAAGGGGTCACTTAAAGCCAAGTTCATTTCGAGGTCTTTCAAGCAAAAAATACAAAAAACAAATGTCTAAGATTGTTCTTAGGCAACTCTTTCAATGAAATTTGCTAGTGATCGAGATGCTGCTCAATTATTTCGATTAATTAAAATGATCTTTATAATGACTTTGCTGGAAATTCATTGTACAAAATGTGAAATTTAAATTTTAGCCAATCAGAGTAACTCTATCAAAAAAAAAATAGTTGGTAGGTCCAGGTTTTTTTATCGAAATGATTAAACACAATCCCTTTCTTCAACTAATCAGATCATTTTATTTACCATATAGAGAGGTGCTTAAGAACAACCTAAATCTACCTTGTTACACCTAAACCCACCTAACCTTAACGTTAATTTAAATTCGTGATAAACCTGGCTTTAAACATTCACTATATGAGTGCTATCAAAGAAAAATGGAACTTCGGGCCTTTAATTATATTTTGTACTGAGCACATTATAATTTATTAGGATTATATCTGTACAGAATATAATTAAAAGCCTGAGGTTTCATTTTCTCTTGACAGCATTCATATTGTATTTATACTACATACACGTACTCATTAATGCTACTGTTGCTATATGTACTGTTAATGATAGAATTACGACAATATGTGAGTCAACTCGAAAAAAAAATAGAAGAGCAGAATGCATTGATCTTAAGAAAAATAAATAAAAAAAATACAATTCTTTTAGAAAAAGAACGAATTACTTTAATAAAAGATAAAAAGGCAAGTATTTTTTTTTTTTTTAGACAATTTTTAGTTGTACACGGTGCGTATGTACACAGGTATTAGTTTGTAAACCAATCAAACCAACTTTTATAAAGCAAAAAATTAAATCCTTACTTATGATGGGAGTAGGGTGCATTTGGGATCAGTGTGAACCTATATCAAAATTTCACAAGGAAATTTTTATTAGAATCCAAAAGGTGGTTTCATAAGCGAAATTTTGAGATTTTGGAGAAATTAATCATTTTACATTACACCTAATCGTGCAATCTGATTGGTTTTTATATTAATTATGTACATACACACCATGCACAAATAGAAATGTACTTTTTTAATACATAATTTTACTTTTTTATCACTTTACTAAATCATAATTTATAACTTAGATCAAGGAGTTTGAAGATTTTTTTTTGAAAATGTCCAATGAACTAAAAACAATCATGGATACCAATTAGGGTTGCGGCCCAATCTCTTTTTTTTTGAATTATGACATTACTACGTAGAGGTTGGAATCGAATATTTGAATATCTGAATATTCGAATCAATTCATATTAAGTATGAATTTGAATTAATTCGAATATTCAAAACCATTATAAAGCTGTCACATAGCCTTTACATGGTCATTACAAAACCATTATTATAAAATGGTAAAGATTATAAGCAATTATTTTTAGCCGCTATACAATTATTCAACCATTATATTACTGTTAGACTATTATAGAATAAATTTGTTACGTACATCACAAGTTACTATTGAAAATGTTTACAACAAACTTTTGTAGCATATATTCTTCATAAAGTTTGAAGTTGAGTATATTCAAGTTGACAAAAGTCAACGAAACGATGACTAAGCAAGGATATGCCGAAAGCAATCTGGTTAGATTCAAAAGTGCTGTTATAAATTCTAATCGAGCATGCAGATAATATAATATCGTGCGAACGAGCACATGAAACAGATAGGTATAATTTAATTAATTGCTTGAGATAAATGGATATTTTAAATTTTCAATTAATAATGATGTAATGGCTATACTTATCGTTATTGTCACGATGAAAATCGGTTCTTCGGTGAAAGTTGGTTCTCGCAATATGTTGTATGTAGACAACAATTGGAGAAAACCTGAAATTGAAAAGAAGGGTTAATGCTGCATCAAAAAAATTAATCAAATACGTAAAAAAATAAAAATGTGAATACATATCGCTTTGGGCTGGTTCGAAGGTCCCGTGATCAGTGTATACTATGTTTGCCACCGTATTGATTTCGTTCAATCAGAATGTGACAGTTAGGGTACTATTCTAGAAACTACTACGTATGTAGCATTTATTCTGGAATGTATATTGAATATTGTGTCATGTGTCATAAATTATTTCCTTAAATAGTTATTTGCGATTAGATGATTTGCACCGTACGTATATGGCGATGGCATAATCACTTTTACCATATAAAGCCATGTTAAAATTATATTATGTTTTTTTTAAATCGTATCTCCTCGATAAATAAGTTCAAATTTGCAAAAAAAATAACATAGCTTTGTAGAACGTATCTAAAATTATAATAGTATGATTTGTTTTTTGCAAATTTTTAAATATTCATTGAGGAGTTATGATTTTGGATGCCTTTAAATGATTTGCATCGTAGTATATTCTTACTATTATCAATCATAATATAATGCTAACCCTAATCTTACTGAATTAGAAATTTGATGGCGATACTGGTGAAGATGGCTGTGCTCCGGATGATCATGTGATTGTCCGGAAATCAATCCAAATGATATCATCGATTAATAAATAATAGTAATTATCATTATCGTTTCGATTCACTTCATATTTTGTTTATAGCTTGCTTTATATTTCACTTTATAGTTTGCTTTATATTTTGCTTAAAACCTTGTTTTATATTTCACTTTATACTTTGTTTTATAATTCGCTTCGTACTTTGTTTCATATTTTGCTTCATATTTCATTTTGTATTTCACTTCATATTGCACTTCATATTTCACTTTATATTTTGCTTTATAATTTACTTCATACTTTATTTTATATTTTGCATATCATTTTCACTTCATATTTCATTTCATATTTCACTTTATATAAAAAAAAAAAAAAAAAAGCAATAATAATAATAATTTGAACTTATTCATTC